GCCATCATGGTCAGCCAGCGAGTCGAGTGGGAATTTGTCATTCACACTGCTCAGTTGTATCAGCGCATGGGTTGCGATGTGCTAGCGCTAGATCTAGTGCGAAGTTGGGAGTTTCTTACGCCGCCGCCGCAGATGAAGAAGCAGATGCCGACCTCGCCGCTCGCGTCGTATGATCTGGATCCGAGGAAGCTGTTGAGGAGGAGGAGCTCCTTAGTCGTGGCCGATCTGCCAATCAGAAGGACTATGACGCCTTCACTTCGGAATGGGGTCAAGGAGGGAAGTCAAGAAGACGACGACGAAGAGACTGAGGATGAAGACGTTGACAAATACGAGGGCGAAAAGGAGAAAGACTCAGAGAAGAAAAAGTCGCAACCGCCGACGCAATTCAATGAACCGGACGCAAACAGCTTGTTGGATTCTTTTGGATTCTAGAGCGCTCGCGATCGCGCAAAAGTCTTTGGATGTTTTTGTAGAGTAGTCAGAATTTCTATGCCCATGAGTTTAGCCCCATTGCTATGCCTTCACAGGACTGAATTGCTTGATACGACCTTCGACCATTGGAGCGATTGCCTAGAATGTCAGCGATTGGCACGCTTGAAGATGAAAAAGACTTACCGTTGTCCAATTCACAGTGAATTCGCCATGGTTTAACGGATGACCTAGCTTTGCATCCTCTGTCATCCCGGCCAGCCGCCACCATTTCCGCATGACTCGTCTCATAACCTCCAGCTCTCGTTCCTGCCGACTCGACTGCGTCGAAATCGGTTTGGTGGTCGCGGTCTCATCCTCGCTGTCCGCATCAACGCCATCCGTCTCCCCAGTCACTTGACTTCGATTCGTGCGTTCCGCCTCGAACGACTCGAACGCTCCCAGAACATCGTCCGTCGGCGACTGGGGCTCCATATGGGGGTGTTTGGCCTGCAAATTCCTTTGTACGCCCTGCCAATGTCGACCCATACTTGGCCCCCACATCTTCCATTTCCCGAGCACTTTCAACGACATGAAGTACTGTCGCAGCAGTGTCGATATCAGGACACCGTTCTCCTCGGACACAATTTCGACTGCCTTACCACCCTCAGCTTCGATGAGTAGCGAATCATACCCATCCTTTCCGCGCGCCATATAGCCCCTTGTCGCCAGCTTATACACACGGTCCTTGTCTAGCGGCCCGCCTGCAACTTCACAGCTTATAATGCGGGACCCCTCTGGCTTTTCGGGATGAAACTCGAATTCAATGTTGGAGACTTGTGGAAAGCGACCCTCGAGCGCGGGGAATTTGCTTACGGAGTTCTCGAGAGCTTCGAGGATAGCTTGCCCAGTTACGTTGATGACAACTACCGGATCTTCGAATGGGAAGCAATTCATAATGTCCTTCAGTCGGAGCACGCCTGGTGGGTATATTTGATCACCTCGGATAGTACCGGCGGCCATGAGGCCGCAATCTGCATAGCGGTTGTTTAACCTGTCAGCGGCGGAAGATAAGTGTAAGATTACATAAAATTGATGAAACTTATACTGATATAGCGTTGCAGTGCGATAATGCTCGACCAGATTGCAAGTCCTCTGACTAATTACGACTCCACTAGCTCTGCTAACAGATATTATAGGTCACAGATGTTATCATGCCTGGCTCATCTGCGAACGATCCTCGGCGGGGTGCGCTATCGAAGGCGTCCTTAATACGATATTTGCGCTGTGTGCGGTAGCGATTCTGGGTTTCCTGTACATGTACTTAGTTTTGGCCGGATCTCGTTCTGATTTGAAGCAATGAAACTTTCAATTCTGCAGTGGATCGATATGAAATCAGAACTCTTGAGGATACTACAATGAATAACCAATTCATGACCCAAAGATATCAAAACAGGGGAAGACAAATAGATGATTTTACCGTCTGGTCTGTTCGACACTGAGGTTTCCACATACGTGAGCTAAAGATCCTCTGAGCACTCTAACTATATACATTTCGTCGCATGACGCTCAGAATTAGGGGTTTTGAAACCTCAGGTGACCTTCGTTTTTTGACCTTTTTGACCTCCAATACTGTTGGAGGCTGGGATACCAGCCACCCATTTCCGTATACTTATACGGTTCCATAGTCTCCTCTAGTTTAGCAATCAATCAATCCTTCTACCCTTCTACAACGGTGTCTATATTCCAACAAATACCCCCATATTCAACCGAGTGTTTGAATCCTCATCTCACCTCCAGCTTAAAACCCGAGCTGAGGACAGGGATTAGAAGACGGTGCGGAAGTAAAGGAAGACGGCGTGAGACTAAAGGATTGTGGCTTCGGGATGGCTGAACCTACCTATTATAGGTATGGTTGGAGGTCAAAAATTGACATTTTTGAGCAGCAAGTATTTTTCGCACGTCGACGAGCTCGAATCTATTCGATTTCGCCTATACTTCGGTAAATCTAATCTTCGCAACTTTTTCAGCGCAACTCTTGGCACGTGTCGCGCGCGCAACACACGTGTTTTTTACCCGATACCTCTAATTCACAAAACCTTATATTTTCCTTAATAACTCTAGATTAAAGACTCTAGAAGATAATAAAAGACTCTATATACCTCTATTTATATCTTAAGAATATTTATTAAGTCCTTTTAAAGACTAAAGAATCTAAAAGAGTGTCAGGACTCAGCCTCAGGCAGGACCAGATACGCACGTACCTCAGCTGACTTGGTCAGGAGGTGGCGTGATAGGCGGTGAACGGTCACGTGCTGAGCAGATCGGCGTCCCTTCGTGTATATACTCTCGGATTCCTACCGAAAGGGTTCGGTAGTAATTCGTCCTGTGACAGAATACACCCCATTGTTCCATCTGGCTACACTACTATCCAACTACCCTATTCTTACAAAGAGATACATAGTAGAGAGAATCTCTATTTTCTCTCTATCTTTACTATATACCTCGGTACTTTAACCCCTCTATATACTTTAAAGTTATAATTATAGAGCTTTTCTTAGAATAACTAATTAATATATTCTTTTTTTCTTAATTTTTTTCTATAGAAAGTAAGAGACTATATAGAAGTATATTTAGATATAATTAAAAAACTTCCTAGAGTCTTAGTTCTAGAGTTATTAGAGAAAAGGTAGGAGTCTAAGAATAAGAGAAAAATGTGTGTGTTGCGCGCAACACGTGCCAAGAGTTGCGCTGAAAAAGTTACGGACGGATAGAATCTATCGACGGGTGGCGTCCGGACACCGTCTCTATACTTAAAAATAAGGTTATTCTGGAGGTCAGAAATCGACCTGAGGTTTCAAAAACCCCTTTATTATGCTAGTCAATTAGACGTATAGTCGCCTCGAAACTATGAAAAGAGACTCCATCATGCGGGTAGAAGTGGGGTCGTTCTGCCCACTAAGCGCATGCTCCTTTTCCCCGCATCCTAGGGTGCCTACGTGCTGTGCCGCACCATGCACGCAGCCCAAGGTGAAGCTGATGGCTATATTTTTCGGCTGAGCACTGCATGCTACTTTCACGGGAGTTTTCACAGCAAATATCCTTCCTGTCGAGAAGTATGTCAGGCTCACACATCTCATAGATACACCACCACATGGCCATCTAATCACTATTTTCTGTCTCAGAGCGCGAAGCTTTCGCTCTGAAGGCTAATTCAGGCGAATGACTTCTACAGTGGCAAGATGGGTGTTCCAAGGGGATATGGTAAGTATCATCACATATGGTGTAGTAAACTGACGAAGTATAGTTCCACGAACGTCTTTATTCCGCGATAGTGACATGACATATACCCTGCCCAGTCCTTCAGATCCCGATGGTCAGTTGAGTGCCTCCGACGTCATGTGCAAACATACAGCAAAGACGCACTAACGCGTCGCTAGGTCCTAACCCCTGATAAACTTGCAGATTGTGGGCCCTCCCACGCCACTCCTAACAGGGTGCACGCAGAGGTCGCACGGCTGGAACACGCAGCGCTCTGATGGTCTATTGGTCGTCGTATAATTACGGGATCGAAAGCAAGCCCTCGCTCTCGTGACCAATCCCCCGCCTTTGATTGTGAGGGCCCCAGCGAGTCAATGTTGTCCTAGTCCAGAGCGGACTTGAGCTCTGGTTGGGAGTTACCCACGACCTTTCTTTCTTTCGAAATCCGCTTCATACGCCATGCCAGGATTGGGATGGCGATCGGAGATATGCCATTCGCGGCTAGAGCAGCATATTTAGGCGCGCACCAGCTTCCAGAGTAATGAATTGTTAGGTTAATTAGCTTTTTGAGCCGAAAACACCAGAAAAACGTTAGATAATAGGTATACTAACTACTAGACAGCCTTATACCCTACCGAATACGTATAATCGGTAATAGCAACGCGTTGGCGACCAGTATACGACAAAATGCCAAAATATGTCCGTCTCACATCTCTCCTGCCTAGTAAGATATGGGTCTGCGAGCCGCTGCGTGAACCGTTGAGCAAGGATAGCCTGTGCGTTGTGCGTAAGGTCCTTGCAATTCCATGGCTCAGTATCCATGGCCTACCAGTTTAGCCGGATACCAGGCGTCGACTTAGTGGATTTAACGGCTCAGGATCAGACGGCTCAGCATGATAACACTGTGAACTAATCTATGAAGATGATGCTCAGTACCGTCAGACACACATCTGTTGTTTTCGTAGAACCTGACCCTCTTGACCCTCGTTTACGAGTTTCGTCTCCTCATTATCTGATAGTAACTCTGTTGGGCCACGCGGCATATCCGCGGGACACTTGGGTGCCTGGCCCTGGATTGGCCCAGCTCTATACGACGACGTGTGACCATTGCACGCGACGGCAGGAACACGAGTAGTGTTACTGGAACATATATAATAGGACATCACCTAGTAGCTTCCGGCTCCTGGATTTAAGAACACTAACTAACAACCCGGTCAAGATGCTCGTAGTCGCTGCTCTTCGAGGAGATGTGGACACCGCTGACGAATAAATTCTTCAAGCCGCTAAGCTATGAAGATCTTAGCAACATCATCCTCAGAGAGTAGGGCAGTCCCGGTGACCTCAATCGTCACTATAGCTGGAGCAGCCGCATAACGTGTCGTGACGCCATCGTCTGCCGGGCTGTACAGAGGCGATGTGCCCTGGTGCACCAAGCTGGCAAGTGGCGGAGAGGGAGAGGGAGATGAAGCAGAGAAATGCTGCGGCGTAGCGTTCGGTCCGTCATCCGGTGAAGGTGCTCGGTAGCCGGGGATGGCCGGATCACCGCCGTCGGATGTGGTGCCGGAGCACAAAACAAAATGGATGTCAGCATCGATCGATCCGGCTGCGCATTGGCGTACAGGCTGATACGGGTTCTCTGTGCCATTCGCGACCATTAGTTCCGTAGACCTTGACGCCCTCGTCCCATCCAGGACACCCTTGACCAGTATGATTTTTGAAAAAGGTATCTACGACCCCAGGAGTACTTGTTGCACAATCCACGAAAGAGATGTCATAGCTTATAAACCAGTCTTTCCGATCGCCGACATCACCATACTTGCTCCCCCAGGAGCCAGCTACTGGCACTACGCTTTCTTTGCGATGGTTTTTGCAACTATCGGGATTGATACGACATTCACAGTATCGAACGTCTTTGTAGGTCTTTATCCCTCCCGCCTAGAGCCTAGCCTAATCCATATAGTTGACAACCCATGTCCCGATTCAACATCAAGGGGCTGCTGGAGCAATCAGTGGAAGCCTGGTTCACCTCGGCGCTGCGCTTTTCCTAGGATGTGCAAGTATCGTGTCGGTCATGAAGCAGCCTGAAGGAGAGCTCCAGAGCTTTAAAGCAGTCTTCTACCTAGAAACTGCTCTGGCCGCTACCTCACTGCTTATTGTGGTAATGTTTGTTCGTGTAGACCGGGCGGTCGCAGATCTTACTACCGATGAGAGAGCTGAGCGTGAGGGTACTACCGGCTATGTCCGTGGATTGGCTCCATAAACGATGAAGGAATGATTGAGCCTTTACGTGCCACGGACTGAGGAAATATATGCAAGGGATTACCTGGATGGAAAACTCGTTGACTTTAGTAGAGCACTGGTGTTCCCGGGATGAGGAGCTTGTACTGTTCAACGAGATGATTAATGATGCGAAAATCATTTCCTGCGATGTTGCCAAGCGATAACGCTGTCCGAGGGAAGCGGGTGAGGCTAAAGAGATCCGAAGCCGAGGCTGTATTATGACTCTAGAAGCCAAATGTCTTTGATTTCACCTGGCTAGATGGAGCTTTGACACCAAGGCAGTTCAACAGAATTAATCTTGTCGTTCGCACTTTTGGATACTCCATAATTCTATAACTGTCTATCACAAGTGGGGAGAATTCCTCAGCCCCAACGAAGAATCGCTGTACTTGTCATTACCGTGAAAATTGCCGGTATGAGTGCGCCAATGCTTAGACCCTTCAAACTACCGTACCTCAAGTCAATCCATGACGGGAGCAAATCCGAAATGCTACCAAGCTTCGATAAAAAGCCGAGTATCACCGCGAAGATCATAAGGCAAAGCAAACTGAAAAGGAGCGTCACCCCCCCTCTGACCTTCTTCGAGTCT